TATTTCAATCATGACAAAGAAAGATAATTATTTATATATAAAAATATATACATTTATATATTTATATATACGTGTGTGTTACATGTACACACATACATATACACCCTCATGCATGTGCTACATATACACCCAAATACACATGTACAGCACATATACACATATGCATACACACACACATATAGCACATACATATAAACATACCTATATGTATGCCACCCCACAGATATGCACATATATATACATACATTGATTTTTCTGGGTTACATGTATGTACATGCATTGATTTCTATATCTATATGGAGAGAAAATTAGTAAAGAAGTGAAAAATCTTTTTAAAAGGAATAGAAAGTATGATAAAGGAATTTCCTAAAGCCCCAAATTTTCTCAAACAGCAAAAAAGAATATTAAAAAATAAAAAATAGAGGACTAGAAGATCCAACATATGAATAAAATTCCTCTGTATACTTCATACTTCTCAAGAATATCAGAGGCTAGGAGCTGGGGTTGTGGCTCAGTGGTAGTGCATTTGCCTAGCTGTGTGAGGCACTGCATATAAATAAATGAACAAAATAAAGTCCATCAATGTCTAAAAAAAAAAAATTAAATTAAAAAAAAGAATATCGGAGGCTAGAAAGTACTGAAAATTCAGGCAGGAAATAATTTCTGACTTACACTAAACCTATGGTTCCTGTTTGAGGATAAACTGAAGCCATCTGCACAGATGCATAACCTTGAATACTTTACCTCACGCTAACCCTCCTCAGGAAGATGCAGCTACTGCAGGGGATGCTGTCCCAAAATAAGACAGTGAACCAAGAAAGAGGGAGACACGGGATCTGAGAACAGAGAATCTAAACAGAAGAGAAATGAAGAACACTAAAAGAAGAACAGAGATTGTGGGGAGACTGCTGTGCAGTGTGTGTGGAGACAAGTGCAGAGACTACGAAGGCAGTTTGTTAGGACAGTGAAATTCATCCGGACATCCTGAAAGCAGATCCAGGCCAGCGAAGAGACTGGGGTTGAATTACTGATAAATGCAAAAAACATTAAGACAGACATTTATTTGTTTCAGGAAAAGGAAAATGTTTCTAGAAAAGGAACTGTAATCATAGTTTATGATGTTGCTTAGCTGTTCAAAGCAATTTACAGTACATAAACAACAAATATTTAGCTAATTGAGATTATATACATACAATTATCTATTAAAATTATCGAGTGGATAAAAGGACGCAAAGGGTAGAAATGTGTGTTGGGAACAGAAAGAGCAAAGAGTTCCATTTCTTTCATAGTAGGAAACTAATACATAACGCCTAAAACTGAAGAATCAAGAGCTATCAATATTAGTGAAATACATAGAAAAATGGTAGGTAAAGACCAAAATGTTGGGGCTGATGTTTTAGTTCAGTGGTAGAGCACTTGACTAGCACTATGAGGCACCAGGTTTGATCCTAGGAACCACATAAAAATAAATAAAATAAAGGTACTGTACCCATTTACAACTAAAAAATTAAAAAAAAAAAAAAAAGACCAAGATGTTAATGGTGTCCTTGGGAAGAAACAAATAGGTCAGGGCAAAAGAGTAGGTGACTCCTGTTTTTAGCAACAAACCTGAAGGAAATTTCCACCTTAGTTCTTACTGTGACAGCACAATGAAATTGGCCTTAGCTGGGTGTGGTGGCTACTCAGGGGCTGAGGCGGAAAGACTGCTTAAGCCCAGGAGTTCAAGGCCAGCCTGGGCAACACAGAGAGACTCTTTCCCACCCCCCAACCTCCTGAAAATGCTGATAGCTGAGCCCCATCCCAGGTGAATTGAATCTGAATCACAAGATCTGTGGATTAGGTACAAGTGGGTTTGAAAAGGGCTCTAAATGTTTCTGATGCATAGAAAGAATTGAGAACTACAGCTTTAAACAATACACACGAGTTACTTTCATAAAAATAAAAAGTAGGGCTGGGGTTTAGCTCAATAGTACAGCACTTGCCTAGCATGGGTGAGGTACTTGGTTCAATCCTCAGCACCACATAAAAATAAATATACTGTGTCCATCTACAACTAAAAAATATTAGAAAATAAAAATAAAAGTGAAATAAAAAGTAATATTTAAATGAAGAAATAAGCCTAAAATGTTTGTGTTTAAATGAAGTAACCTTTGGAAACACATACATGTCCATAAATATTCATATATAGGGCTGGGGATGTGGCTCAAGCGGTAGCGCGCTCGCCTGTCATGTGTGCAGCCCAGGTTTGATTCAACACCACATACAACAAAGATGTTTGTCTTCCGAGAACTAAAAAATAAATACTAAAAAAATTCTCTCTCTCTTGGGCTGGAGAATGTGGCTCAAGCGGTAATGCGCTCACCTGGCATGCACGGGGCGCTGGGTTCGATCCTCAGCACCACATAAAAATAACATAAAGATGTTGTGTCCACTGAAAAATAAATATTAAAAAATATTCTCTCTCTCTCTCCCCCTCTCTCTCTTTAAAAAAAAAATCCATATATATATATATATATATATATATATATATACATACATATAAAACAAAGTTGGTGCTCAAAAAACAATTCATCAAGGACCCAGTTCTCCTTTTTCATTAGTAACTTCTAAAGTGGTCATTTTTAAGATTTCTTTATACAAGTTTTTGTGGGAAAAGTAAATATCAGATACCTTCCGGTGTTCCCCAGGGGTCTGCAGATGTGAATGGGATGCTTTAGAGACACTAATGGTTAAAAAGATCAAATTGGACTGATTTGCCTACTGCATGTGGATTCCCCACTAGGGCTCTGAAAATCAGTTGGCTCTGGCTGATTTAACTCTTTAGAGGAATGACATTGCATGGGCCATCACAAACACCAAACACAAAAAAGTCCTTTCTATTATTCTACAGTTACCCTATGCAACAGAATTTTGAAATCTAGAATGAAATAATGGTGCATAATTAAATAAAAACATTTCTAATTATGCACAATGATATTTTTAAAAATCAGCAATCGACCTTCATTTTACATTCAAGCAATGCTCTGAAAACAGCAGGCACATACAAGAAATGGCATTCATGAAATTATAAAAGGTGGCATTCAGTAATGTCCAATCAAATGCAGAGAAGTCAACAAGTTACTAAAATATTCTAGATCATGTTAAACAACACACTTGACCTGGCCCAAGGGCAACACATTCTGTCATATCACCAAACTATAACAACTCATTCCTTCTAATTGAAAAGACAGGATGCTGTCTGTGAATTCTGTGAAGACACATGTGGCCTGGACACTTCTGGTTTTGTAAGTATAAATGAGGCAACCAATACACCTTTTCCTTCAGCAGCCTCCTAACCCTCTCCCACCTCTTACAATACACACAGAGTTTAACAAAGTATATAAATAACTATCCTAAAAATCAAGGGTTATAATATTAAATTGGACAAAATGGGTACCAGGAAATACACTAAAAATTTTAAGGTAGGTTGAATGCTCATACTTCAGAGTTTACTTAAAAAAAAAAAAAAAGAAACGAAACTAAAGGGGAATGAAGGGAAGGGAGGTAAAGTGGAAACAGAAAAGATAGTAGAATGAATCAGACACTACTATCTTATGTGCATATATGATTACATGACCAATGTAATTCTACATCATGTACAACCAGGAAATGAGAACTTACGCTTCATAGATGTATAATATGTCAAAATACATTCTATTACCATGTATAACTAATAGAATAAAAAATGTTAAAAAAATAGATGAATATACTTTGCCTGTTGTTACAAGAAAAAAAAAGGAACTAAACATGAAAATGAAATAGGAAACATTTACATGGTGTCAACTCTCCTGCTGCAGGTATTTCCACTGCTCTCTTGACATAAACCTACTAAGGTCTGCTTTTCCACCTAACTACACATATGAATACCCACAACAGAAACAGCACAAACGGCAGTCTGAGCACCCAGTGCTGAGAATCGAACTCAGTGCTTCACATATGCTAGGCAAGAGCTCTACCACTGAGCCATACCCCTAGCCCATCCTACTATATTTAAGAGCATATTTTTCACTAATAAAGCATTCCAGGGGCTGGGGCTGGGGCTAGGACTCAGTGGTAGAGCACTCGCATAGCACATGCGAGGTGCTGGGTTCCATCCTCAGCACCACATAAAAAAAATAAATAAATAAATAAATAAAATGAAGGTATTGTGTCTAATTACAACTAAAAAAAAAAAAAAAAAAAATCCAGGGGCTGGGGATGTGGCTCAAGCAGTAGCGCTCGCCTGGCATGCGTGCGGCCCGGGTTCGATCCTCAGCACCACATACAAACAAAGATGTTGTGTCCGCCGAAAACTAAAAAATAAATATTTAAAAAAAAAATCCAACACAATTCAAAGGACTCTAAAAACTGTGTTTTCAACTTTAAAGGTTTTCATTGCTGGCATTCTATTCATAATGATCAAAAAAACATCATTTAAATAGCAAAGTATTAAAAAAAGGATATTTAGGTTATATTATTTCAGTATTCAGGGTCATCATTCTTTTCCCTTGTCAAAATTTTATTAAAAAATTAAAGGGATGTAAAACAATATGTTGATGTTCAAAGAGTATCACTGTAGAACAACAGACCAAAATGTCAAAAACTACAGTGAACTGATGTGAAGAAGGGAAGATGTTTTAAAACTAGAAAATAAAATTAATCCACAGGTCTCTTCATGTATAAAGAAAATTATTCTGTGTTACATAACAAAAATAAACCTCCCATCACAGATCTTGGAAATCTTGATTTTTTTTTTTTTCCTGCAGGAGGATTTATTTTTTTCCACTGAATGTCCATTCATGCATATTCTTATTTCTATTCATAGCACCAGATCCTGACTAGCATGCACAACCTCAAAAGAAAAGAAACACTAAATACAAACCTTGTAAAATAAAGAAAAACAAAAGGCACGAGTTTGGAGTGGGTACACTGGGGCTGGTGCCATAAAGTCCAATGAGTGCGCTGGCTCCCGTGGAACTCACCTTGTAGGCGACACTGTTGGAAGAGTCCACGATGATAAACAGGGGCTTCCTTGTGAACGGGTAGAGATCTCCAGGATGAAGGCTGGGGAAACAACAATGGTGAGGGGTTGTGCAATTATGCCAGCCAAATCTCAGAAAATAAAATAAAAAGGAAATGGCTCATAGCTCTTTTACATGACAGCACTGAGAGAAAAACAAAGGTCAATCAAGCGAAAGACAAAAAATGTCTGTATTCCCAGGACAGGCAAGTTGGTTTTATTTGGGGGGGCGGAAAAAGTTCAGAAACAATTACTTGAGAAATCTAAGTTAAGGAGAAGTTTACATGCTTAAAAATGAGTAAGCACACAGCATGAAATCCTCAAAACTCAACATATAGGTACTTGCTTCACAGATGTCAATGTTTCCTCGAAGAACATATTTTGAAAATAAGACAATAACACAATCAGAGCTGTATTTAGTGAGTCTTCAAAATCAATATCTAGGGTTTTGTGCATGTTTGTGAATATGTGTGGGGGGGTGGTACTGGCAACTAAACCTAGGGCCTCACACATGCCTTGTCACTGAGCCTTGTCCCAAGTCCTTTTAATTTTATTTCATTTTGAGCTAGGATTCCCCAATCCCTCAACCCTGGCAATCACCTTCCTATTCTCTGTTTCTGAGTTTGACTTTCAAACACTACAAAGAAGTGAAATCATGCAGTGTTTGTCTTTCTGGGTTTGGCTTATTTCCCTTGGTGTCCTCCATGTTCACAGGTGTTGTCACAAATGACAGGATTTCCTTCTTTCTTATGGCTGAAAAATATTCCGTGTGTGTGTGTGTGTGTGTGTGTGTGTGTGTGAACACACAGGTGCCAGCATGTTAGACACTTAGGCTGTTTCCAGACCTTGGATATTGTGATACTGGATATTGTTACTAATGCTGCAATGAGCTGAGAGTGTAATTTCTCTGACATATTTTGCTGAGATATATAATTTCATTTTCTTGGATCACGAAAGTTCTATTCTTATTTATTTTTTAATTTTTTTGCAGTATTGGGGATTGAGCCCAGGGGTGTTCTAACAGTGAGCTATATCCCCAGCCCTTTTTATTTTAAGACAGGTCCTCATTAAGTTGGCCTCAAACCTGTGATCCTCCTGCCTCAGCATCCTGAATAGATGGGATTACAGGCATTTACCACTTTATCAGCATTTTAAAATTTTTTGAGAAATCTCCACATTGTTTTCCATAATAGCTGTACCAACTTACGTTCTCACCAACGGTCTGCATAAGCTCGCTATTTTCCATACCATCACCAATACTTATCTCTTTTCTTTAAAAAAAAAAATAGTGTGTGTGTGTGTGTGTGTATGCACACTATGTTTCTATTCATAGCACCAGATTTTTTTTTTTTTTAGTTGTAGTTGGACATAATACCTTTATTTTTATGTGGTGCTGAGGATCGAACCCAGCGCCTCACATGTGCTAGGCAAGTGCTCTACCGCTGAGCCACAACCCCAGATCCCTCTTTTCTTTTTGATAATAGCCATTCTTACAGGTAATAAATAATATCTTATTATGGTTTTAATTTGCATTCCCTGATGATTAGTGGTGTTGAGCACCTTTTCATATCTCTGTTAACTTTACCTAATATAAATAATTCAAAATTAAGGTCAATAACAGCATCAACATGTGGCTGGAGGGAACTTTAATCTGAAACATCACTGGACTGATCTCCCTTCCCCATTCTTTAATATGAAGAGTTGATATTTTTATGTCAAGTGTTACTAGGAATGGGATTTCAGACAAGTTCTTTCTTTTTTTTTTTTTTTTTTTTTTTAATAACAATTGTTCTCCCTTAGCTAGAGCTAATAATGGCTCAAGCAGTCAAGGTACTGTGCTTAGAAATAAGAGTAAACTTTCAGTAAGCATGGTGGTACATGCGTGAAAACCCATCGACTCAGGAGGCTGAGACTGGAATATCTCAAGTTTGAGGCCAGCCTTAGCAACTTAGCAAGAACCTAACTTGTTGGGACCTGCCACACAGGAATCGAGTACCCCTTAGCCTTGAGTGATGAGAATGTGAAGATATGGCAAGCCCAAGCCAGCCATGGGCGGTGTGTGTGTGAACTATGGGCACTGAGCACACAAAGTAGAACTATTGTTGCCCCCCTGTTTGGGTAGGACTCGCTCTGGTCTTTCCGCTTGCTCTTCAATGATCCCCACATAGCTTATGAGATGGGCATGGCCTCCTTAGATGTCAGTCAACCTGCTGACAACAGACATCACGAAGCTAGACTCAACCCCTTGAAACCTGACCCCTTGCCCCAGCTGAGTGGTTTCTCCTTAATAAAAGTTCCAGCATGTGCTCTCTCTTTCCATGGACCCCTAAAGTCAGAGGAGCCACCACAGGACCCAAAGAAAAAGGTGTCTCTGTCTTTTGTGTGATTATTTCATGCAGCTCAGTTCACCTGGAGTGACCCTGAGTGTTTTAGTCATGAGACACAACACTAACTCAAATTTAAAAAAAAAAGGAGGGGCCTGGAGATGTACCTGGTGGTAAAGCACCCTCGGGTTCAATCCCCAGTACCAAGGAGAAAAAAAAGAAAAGAGAAAAAAAAAAAGCAAACTTTTATAGGTGAGATTCTATTTGAAATTGTTCAACTCAGTTCATTTGCGCTAGATTAAACCAACAGAATCCTACATTTAAAAGTTCATATTGGGGGCCTGGGGCTGTGGCTTAGTGGTAGAGCGCTTGCTTAGCACATGCGAGGCACTGGGTTTGATTCTCAGCACCACACAAAAATAAAATAAACGTGTTTTTTCTGATACAAGGATGCTGATTAATAATGGGGCTGGGGGTGGAGAATGGGAGGAATAGACAAATTTTACATATGGCAAATGGGAAGGAGGGTAAGAGGAGGCGTGGGGCTAGGAAAGAAGGTGGAATGAGACAGACATTATTACCCAAGTACATGTATGGAAAACACACATGGTGCGACTACATTGTGTTCAACCAGAGACATGAAAAATTGTGCTCTATATGTGTAATATGAAATAAAATGCATTCTGCTGTCATATAACAAATCAGAATATGTAAAATCTAAAATAAAATAAAATGAAGGTATTGTGTCCATCTACAACTAAGAAAATTTTAAAAAGTTTATATTGGGCTGGAAGTATAGCTCAGTGGTTGTGCTTGCCAAGCATGCAGGAGTCCCTGGGTTCAATACCCCGCATCAAAAAAAAAAAAAAAAGATTCATATTAATGTTAATAGGAATTAGGATCTAACTTATTATTTATTGATGTAAATATTTACTGACTCCTTCAACTGCAATGCAGTTTTGTTCACTATTATAATAGCAATGCTTTAATAGTGCCTGACATATAGTAGATTCTCAATATTTGTTAAATGAACATCAGTCCCAAATTCTAATTTCCTAAGATAGTTGGAAACTGAAATATTGCTAGAATCCACATAAGTGTTAATTTGATTTTTTAAAATAAGGTCTTGGGGCTGGGGATGTGGCTCAAGCGGTAGCGCGCTCGCCTGGCATGAGTGCGGCCCGGGTTCGATCCTCAGCACCACATACAAACAAAGATGTTGTGTCCGCCAAAAACTAAAAAAAAAAATAAATATTAAAAAAAATTCTCTCTAAAATAAGGTCTTTATTTTGTTTATTTATTTTTAAGTGGTTTTGAAGATCAAATCCAGTGCCTCACATGAGCAAGGCAAGCGCTCTGCCACTGAGCCACAACCCCTGCCGCACGTAAGTGTTATTAATAGTAGTTTGAGGGAACCTTTCCTAGAAAAAAGTGTCCATTTCACTTTAATTACACGGGGGTTGATTACCAGTATACATACCAGTGCATTTCCTTGTGGGACTGATTTCGTTTGTGGATAGCATCTCCATTTATAATATCCCGGTTACTATTAGTAAGTACACCTCCAAAATCATAAGGACCTATAAAAACAAAGGGAAGAATCCTAGACGTCAACTGGAGGGTGACACTGATCTGATTCAGATACAAAAGTACTACATGAACCTCTCAGTAATACAAGTGGACAATAATTACAAAGTGTTTCAATTATTTCTAACATTTTAATTTAATCCAACATTTAAATGATTTCAATATATTGCCTATTTTGACGTTTTAAGAAATCATCTTATTATAATTTTTTCAAACAACATAAAGAGAAACAAACTAGAATACACTACATCCCATTAATTTAGGTAGTAAAAGGGATGAGACCTGGGATACTGAGAATGACTTTTACATTTCAAGTAAAATCTAGCTAGGCATGGTGGCACACACATGTAATCATAGATACTTTGGAGACTAAGGCAGGAGGATTATAAGCCTGAGGCCAGCCTCAGCAAATTCCCAAGACCCTTTCGCAAAATTAAAAATAAAAAAGCCAGGGAATATATCTCAGTAGTAGAGTACCCTGGGTTCAATTGCAAGTACCACATACACACACACAAAGAAAATTCAAGCGAAGTTTAAATGTCTGGTTTAAAACAATTATTTTAAAAAGAATAGTTGTAGACTGATGGGGGGGGGGTCAATTAAAAATTGAACTCAGGAGCACTTATCAGCTACATTTCCAGTCCTTTTTATTTTGAGACTGGATCTCATTAAATTGCTGAGGCTGGTCTCAAACTTGCAATCCTGCCCCAATCTGAGTCAATACAGTTACAGGTGTGTGCCACTATGCCTAACTGTAGACTAAAGTCTTAATCTCTTAAAATACATATAATTTTAAATGAGCTACTAATTGTAGCATTTAGAGAAAATTTTTAATGTAATTGGAGAATCTGATTGCTAAAACTGCCTTTTAGAGATATGTATTGCCAAATTTCAGTGTATGAAAAAAATCTACCATTATCATTATTATATCAGTCACTTGAGTTCTAGTTTTCCCCCTAGTCATATGGATTAGCCAATTCTTGTCTAAGTAGAACAACAATTGTGGGATGCATGGATAATTTCTCTCAAGGTCAATACATCAAGCAGGAACCCAGAAAACAGTATAAGGCATAAGACATGAAAAAGTTATTTATAAGTAAAATTACTAATTTTATTGTACAAAAGAACTAAAGTACTTTAAAATTTTACATCACTGCCAAAGTTTTATATTTTATGCTTTTAAAACATATCAATGGAAATATTATAGAGATTTGTTCTGCTTTGTTTTCATTTTAACATTTTAAGACAATCTGTAGGTCATGCAAGGAAGATGGCAGGGACATGCACTTTATAAAGGAATGCAAATTTCAACAAACAGATGAGGAGGAAAATGTTTAAAATGTCAAGAAATTGTTTTTCCCCAAAGATTTAATTGCCTTATTTACATCCAAGCTAATCATCTATTCTGACCAATTTCTAGATCATATATTTGGACAGTTTTTAGGCTTTGTTCTGAAACAGCATCCCAATATTTTACACACTAAATCCATAAAAACAAAATAAAGGACTGAAAACAAAAGCATAACAAGGACTTGAACTTTCACAGTTACAAAAGTACACTGATTTCTACAAAGACTTTCAGCCATAATGTAGCCACTGACCAGACCCTCTAATGCACTAACGGCTCAGGAAAAAAAAATCACTCACTTTAAGTCAATAATTAGACTTTTTATTCCATCACCCTTTTCTACTTTATTTATTTTTTGGTAATGGGGATTGAACCCAGGATTAACCACTGAGTCACATTCCCAGTCCATTTTATGTTGAGACAGGGTCTCACTAAGTTGCTTAGGACCTCACTAAATTGCTGAGGCTGGCCTAGAACTGTGATCCTCCTGCCTCAAGCCTTCCAAGTTGCTGGGATTACAGGCGTGTGCCACCCACGCCCAGCTACCCCTTTCCACTTTAAAACATGAAACTCCATAAGGCTTTGGGCAAATTTGATAGTGAAGCATGCATTTAAATTAATTTTCTGATGATTTATGGACTTCAAATAAACCAGTTTTCAAATCTGGAAGCCTCTTTAGAAAGTGTGAGGTGGTCTGTGGGCTGTGGGCCAATGTCTTGTAGAAAAGAAAGAGAATTCAAGCCCTGCTCACGACAGGGAGCATTCCTTTATTGTACCTTCACTATCAGAACGACCTGTGGGGAAAACGCCAGTGGCTGACAGGTAAATTAGAAGCACACTATTGGCAGGCAGCTCCTGAAATTAAAGAAAATCACATATACAAAACAACAAACATGGAAAAGCAACACAGTTTTATTGGGCATTTTATGTTGTGGGGAAAACAAGAATGTAAGGTAACATATTGTTGTTTTATCCAAGGGAAAAGTCACTTGCTGGTTCTGATTTAGAACTATCTACATGGCTAAGGTTCATTATGAATCTCTAACGTATAACTCTTGCCAAAAGCTGTCAAGACATTCTCTGCTTCAGAACCCTCACTATTTAGATAATGTTCTCTGAAAACCTGAAGTACAGAACTAAAGCTCTTTTCCTGATACTTAGGATGAAACCCAGGGGAGCTCTACCACTGAGCTACATACCCAGTCCTTTTTATTTATTGAGACACAGTCTTGCTAAGTTGCTGAGGCTGGTCTCCAACTTGTGATCTTCCTGCCTTAGCCACCCACGTGTCCAGGATTATAGGCATGAGCCACTGCACGTGGGATGGAAAAATAAAGATCTTGATCACAGTTCTATACCTCTCCACAGATTTCTCTAGACAAACCTAGAGCATACTACCATTTCTCATCATTTTTTTCAGATGATTAAAATGTTTCTCACAGTAAATGAAAAAAAAAGTTTCAGAAAGTTGCCTGAATATATGACATGCTATGCAACCTGCTCTTGTTTTTCAGTTTTGCACTAACTGCTAAACCTAAAGTAGTTTAGCAATAAAAATCTGAAGGCTGGAGAATGACAACTAATCAATATTCTCATTAACTCATGGTCAGAAACATTTACAAATTATAAGCAATTTTCATTCCAAAAATAGCTATATTTAAAACTATATTCTAAAGTTTGTATTTATATATTTATAAATATATAAATTTATATATTTATAAATTTCATTTATGTATATATTCTGAAGTTTTTATTTATTATATTTAGGACTATTATTCTAAAGTTTTTCATTTTCCACATTTTACCTAAACTCTTAACTCAAATATTCAGATAAGAATGACTCTTGGATCCCCTCAGGGCATACTTTCCCCACATGGGAAAAAGTGTTGTATTACACGTACCTTAAAAGATGCTGCTAAGAATGTGTACAGCTGACTGAAGGTTGGTTTGTAGAGCAGATACTTGTGGGGGTTTTCTCGTCTGGTAGGTTTGTCAGCTGATTCCTATATTTACACACAGAAACCAATACACATAAAAGCATATTTGACAGATGAATTATCAATGCCAACATTACCTCTCCTCCCTATCAAATATCCTTTTTTATGTTCAGTGTATGATCTATTTCTCCTTATCCTATCAAGAGAGAGCTCTGTGTTCATATGCATACATTTGAATGTAAAAATCAATAAATACCACATGAGGAACATGGAGGCAGCAAGGGAGTTGCCACATTTGCAAATGTAGGAAGAAGATCACCTGCATTCCTGGTTTATTCATCTGGGAAGCTAAATTCATCGGCTCTCTCTCCAGGGCTTGTAACATCCGAAACATGTCAACAGTTAGTTCGCTGAACTTAACCTGCAAGATAGATAAACCTGGGCATTAATGCAGCATGCAGATCTTGTGGCTTTTTGTTTTCCTTTTTCAATGCTGGGGATTGAACCTAGGGCTTGCTAGGCAAGCCCTCTGACACTGAGCTATGCCCCCAGCCCCAGACCTTGTGGACTTTAATCACATTATTACTCTTGACTTTCATGTGTAGTTAATAGAATTGAGTATTTGGGAATTTTCAAAAGAGAGGAAGGGTAAAGAATTATGCAGTGACATCCACATGATTATCATCCAGATTCTATAATTTCTTGTTGTTGGCTCATCACACATCTCTCTGTCTATTCATATCTCTATTGATCCATTCATTTCCTTAGGGATTTTTTGTTTTAGCCATCCTGGTCCCCTTCAGTATCAAACTCAGGGCCTCACACGTGTTCGGCCCATACTCTACCACTGAGTTATATCCCCTCCTTAGGTTTTGTTTTGTTTTGGCACTGGGAATCCAACTCAGGGGCACTCTACCTCCGAACTACCTCATCAGCCTTTCTACTTTTTCTTTTCTTTTTTTCTTTTTATTTTTTTAGGTGTAAAAAATATGACATACTATGCAACCTTCATTTATTTATATGTGGTGCTGAGGATGAAAGCCAGTGCCTCACACATGCAAGGCAAGCGCTCTACCACTGAGTCACAACTCCAGCCCCCTTATCAGCCTTTCTTATTTTGTTTTTGATAGGGTCTAAGCTGCTGAGGTTGGCCCCAAATGTAGGATCCTTTGCCTCCAGAGTCTCTGGAATAATAGGTATGCACCATTGTGCCCAGCCTCAGGTATTTTTAAAAACAACAGAAATGTAGTTTCAGAAACTATATAATTTCCTACAAAACATGCTGATTCACAGCTAGGCTGAGATATATGTGGACTCATTTGAATAATCTCTTCAGTATATGTTGGTACTACACAATACTTAAAACTGCATCCCTTTTCATTTTCAATAATACTTATATACAACTTCAGGTGGGCACATGTACCCACTTCTACAGAATAAAAGGAATTTTTTAGTTAAAGAAAGAATCCATTTATGAAGAATATTCACTAGAGTTTCAAACATTTAACTCATTTAAAATATCTATCTCTACATATGTCTATATCTATCTTTTTTTTCCCCCTCAGTGCTGGGGATGGAACCCAGAGCCTTGAGCATGCTAAGCAATGTTCTGCCACTGAGTCTCAGCCCTCAGCCCTCATTGAATACACCTTTAAGCAGACTGAACAAAATTTTTTAATTTTTCTCAAACTTTCAAAGAACAAAGTCACATAGATGGGCACTTTTGGCCATGCTTACTGTCTCTACTTGAGTTTTCTGAAATGACATAAAACTGCCCTAAAGATCCACATATTTACCACCTCTATTACCTCTGCACAAGAGAATAAAAAAATACCTTTCAGACCAGGGCTTAGACGTTAAAAACTCTCATCATCTGTTCTTTTTCTTTGTCTAAAATGAGGCAAAGAAGTAAGAGTGCTTGCTCCAGGGTATGACTGGCAAGGTCCACCACCGGAGCATACTAAAGAACAGATGCTACGCACAACAGAATTACAGACCCTCACATTAGCCTGATAACAGCTACCCCTCTTGAAATAGATTATTTTCCTGTCAAAAGAACACACTGCACTTCAGAGTTCAAACCTGTTAGTCCTTAAATGATCTGTCATGCCAGGACTCACTTGAATTGCTCTATTTCCTGTTCCTCAATGTAGGAAAACTTCCTCCAGTCCTTTACCTCCTCACTAGCTAGCCCTTTAATTCTCCTTTGCTACATCTACCTATCTACCCATACACCAAGCCCTAAACTCAAGCAGTCTTTGACATCTATTCTTTCTTTCCTTCTGTTTCCAGTTTTTTATCAAATGTTTCTGGCTGTATTTTCTGTCTTTTTCTTAGAACTGTGGAGCGAACCCAGCGCACTTTACTACTAAGCCCCATTCTATGCCCCCTTTTAAAATTTGAGATAAGGTCTTGCAAAGTTGCTGAGATCATAGATCTGTGTCACAACACCCAGCTCTATGTATTTTTTGAAACCATTCTCCATTATCATCAACACCCCTTTACTAAAGGATAGTTACTACCATATGCAAACTTCACTACATGGGAGTCAATCAAAAATCAGCAAGCAAGCAAAGAATTAAGACTATAAAACTGAAGTAAGAAAGAGAAATAGGCATTAGAACAGAACCATGGGTGATCTAGATAATGCAGTTGGCAGAAAAACCTTAAAGTAACTGACAAATGTGATCAATTAGAAAGGAAATGTAGACAGACATACTGGCACATGCCTGCAATCTTAGCAATTTGAGGGGCTGAAATAGGAGGAGTACAAGTTCAAAGCCCACTCTAGCAACTATAGCCAGACCAATCTCCAAAATATCTCCAAACTAAAAATAAAACAACAACAAAATGGGAGGTGAGTGGTCTGGGGATGGCAGAGTGCCCCTGGGTTCACACGCCCCAAAAAAAGAAAAAAAAAAAGAGATAGACAGAGAGACACAGTAGCACACAAATAAGAGAGCTTTGTTAGAAAATTAATATCTATACAAACAGAATCAAGTGGAAAGCTAAGGAACTAGGAAAGATCACATATGAAATTTTAAACTTAGTAAAAGGCTTAATAGTAGATTAGACAAATAAGAAAATTAGTGAAGTGGAAAAAAAGTGAAGTGAAAATAATTAAAGTAGAGAAGCAAAATTACAGAAAATATAGAAAAGAATGTAACAGCCACGAGTGACACTGTTGGTCTCTATAGACATGTTACTGGAGCCCTAAAAGTGGAGGAGAAAAACAGTGAAAAGATAAATCGTATTTGGAGACAATAAATATATTTAAAATACATGAAAGACATCAACCTACGGATTCTAGAAACTCTGTGAACCTCAAGCCAGATAAAAAAACAAAACAAAATACATTTGGCTATACCACAGTAAAACTGCAAGAAACAAAGATAGAAAATCTTTAAAGAACATATAGGAAAGAAATATTTCCTTAAACAGAATATGTGATAAATAATAAATCTAACAGTTTCAACAAAAATAGGTCATTTCTCAACAGAAACAAGAGAAAATGTAATTAGATGTAGAAAATGACAATGGAATCAAGCTCAAGTTATAGAGCTAAAAAATTACAGGGCAATAAAGACATATTAGGGCAAATAAAAACTGAGAAAATTCATTCAAAGTACATATGAAAAAATACTTTGAAGAAAGTCAAATGAGAAGAAATACAAATAAACATCAAGTGTACAAGACAATATGAATAATTTCTTATATGAAATACAGAGAATTAAAAGGTTAAACCAAATCAATGCAAATAGTTTAGGCTTCGGCCTGCAAAACACTTTAGCGTGCAAAATACCTAATCACAAGTTTTCTTTAAAATCTACAAAATGTTTGATTTACTACCTCTACTTTTATCAAAAGTTATTAAACACTGCCAAGAAGCAGGAAACTGATCAATAATAAAAAAATAAATTAAATAGTCAATCTATAGATGCAGATATAGAAATGATGAAAAATTAGAAGATAAGGCTATTAAAACAGGTATTATAACTAATCAAATATTTAAAGCAAACATACATAATGAAACAGAAACGGTGACACAAAACGGAAGCTCTACATATGAAAATATAACATCTGAAATAAACATGTTTGGGGATCTGATTAACAGCACATTGAATACTGAAAAAATAAAATATCAGTGAACCAAAGTTAAAAGCAATAGAATCAACCCAAGGGAAGGACAGAAAGAAAGCTTTAGGACTATAGATACTACTTAGTGGTAGAGTATTTACCCAGACTGTGTGTAAGGCCTTGGGTGTGAGCCCCAGTACCAAAGAAAATAAAATGAAAATTCAATTAAATTTATTATCTTCATTGGGCTTAAGGGATAATATAAAAGTCTAACAGTTTGAACCACAGACTCAAAAACAGAAAAGTAAAGCAGGGATGGAAATAATGTTTGAGAAAATACTACCTGAAAAAATTTCAAGTTTGAGGGAATTATAAACACATATATCCAAGATAATCAACAAATCTAAGAAGAATAAACACACATACACATGCACACACACAATTAAAATCATAATCACACTGCTGAAACCAGTAATAATGCAGCCAAAAGAAAAAGGACATATTACAAGATAGAATTTTTCAGACTGCTGATCATAAATTGTACAAATAAAAAGACAATGAAAAAAAATCTTTAAACTGTAGAAAAAAGTGGACCAGAATCTTGTATATAGCCCAAAAATCTTTCAAAACTGAAAATGAAGTAAATAGAAAAAAAATATGCAAAACAAAAACAAAACAAGCCAAGTGAATTCATTATTAAAATACTACATTACCAGAAATATTAAAGGAACCTTATGCAGAAGGAAGTAATAACAGATGACAACTCAATTCTACACTAAAAAATGAAGAATGGATATTACAAATAAGTTGGTAAATCTTAGATTTTTTTTTTGGAGACAAAGTCTTATTATGTTGCCCCAGGCTAGCCTCAAATTGACAATACTCTTCCCTAGGCCTCCATACTAGTTGAGACTATAGACATGTGCCACCAAGCTGAGCTCATACGTAAACTCTTATTTTAATCTCATTTTCAAATTTCTTCAAAAGATAATTTTGGGTTGGGTACAGTGGTGCATGACTGTCATCCCAGCTACTCAAGAGTCTGAGGCAAGAGGATTTTAAGTCTGTTAAAGCCAACGTAAGTTAGCAAAGCTCTGTCTGAATAAAATTAAAGAGTTAGGGAAGTAGCTCAGTGGTAGGGCACTTGCCTAGCAGTCCAGAGGCCCTGAGTTCAATCCCCAATAATGAAAAAAAAAAAAAAAAAAGATAATTTACTTTAGCCATATTGAGGTTCATAACATGAATTGAAGGTATGTCAACAAGAGCAAAGAGGATGGTGTGTGCTATGTACCACTGTAAGAGTCATAAAAGTCACAGGAAATTAGGAAACATTTTGAACTGAAAGAAAACAAAAAATACAATTTATCAAAATCTGTGGAATGAAATTCGTAATGTTTAAAGGGAATTTTATACCTTTCTATTTTTATACTAGAAGAGAAAAAAGTTTTAAGATTTACAGTCCCAGGATCTATCCATTAGAAGAAAAAGAAAGCACAAATGAAACTCAAAGTTGGAGGAAGGGAACAATAAAAATAAGAGCAGAAATCAAAAAAAGAAAAAATAGACAAAGAATAGGGAAAAATTAATATCTCATTTACAACAAGATATCAAGGCCCAATAGAATGGTACAATAATGAAGTTAGGCATGGTGGCGTACTCCTATAATCCCAGGAACTCAGAAGATAAGAATAAAGATGGCAAGTTCAAAACCAGTCTCTGCAACTTAGGGAGGCCCTAAGCACCTTAGTAAGACCTTGACTCAAAATAAAAAATAAAGAGTTGGGGAGCTGGGGATGTGGCTCAGTGGTAATGTCCCCAGGGTTCAATCCCCAGTGTACAAAAAAAAAAAAAAAGCGATAATGAAGTCAATATGATATTAACATAGAAGACACAGACCAAAAGAACAGAATCAGATTTAAACATATTTGACACATATTTGTGATAAAAATGACATGGCCTATTTAGCAAATTCTGTAAAAATCTCCTGAAATCAACATGGAAATTTTGACCTATATACTTCTCACCAAAATAAAAACAAATTCCAGATTGACCACAGATCTAAATGTAAAAGATAAAGTAATATTTTGTTTTGTTTTTGTATCACGGATTAAACCCAGGGGCCCTTCCACTAAGCTACATCCCCAATCCTTATTTTTTATTTTTAGCCAGGGTCTTGCTAAATTGCTGAGGCTGGTCTTGAACTTGGGATCTTCCTGCCTCAGACTCCAAGTGTCTGTACAGGTACATACCAGTGAGCCAAGGTCATTAGGTTTTTTTTTTTTTTTTTAAAGAATTTTTTCATATTTATTTGTTAGTTTTCGGCGGACACAACATCTTTGTTTGTATGTGGTGCCGAGGATCGAACCCGGGCCGCACGCATGCCAGGCGAGCGCGCTACTGCTTGAGCCACATCCCCAGCCCCAGGTCATTAGGTTTTAATTTACATTTCCTTGATTAATAAAAATTTCTTTGCTGATCCATAATGGGAGGGGGTAGGGAATCATAAAGGAACTTTTGATTGTGCAGAGGGGAGTGAAGGGATGGGAGGGGAGGGTGGGAAAGGATGGGAAGGACAGTGGAATGAGATGGACTTTATTATCTACATACATGTATGATTATACTACCACTGTGACTGCACCATGTATAGCCAGAGAAAGAAGTTGTGCTCCATTTGTGTACAATGTGTCAAAATGCATTCTACTGTCATGTATAACTAATTAAATTTTAATTTTTTTCTTTGATTAAATTTTATTTGAATTAAAAAAAGTGAGAAAAATACTGATCCTTCAGATAATATAACTAAACAGACTAAATGTTTCAAAATCTGTCCAGTTCATGTGTGCACATAATTTTAAGAATGTTTTAATTTAAAAATTGGAAAAATAATAGCTATATAAATAAAAAATGAAAGAGTACTTACTAGCAAAATACAGAATGAAAAATGATAGGTCCTAGGGAAGTTTCCAAAATTAAAACTTGAGTTTATAATACATATAGAAAAATTCATGACTTTTTCAACATCCAGCAGTATTTAGTAACTTACATTTTTAGTACATTAAAAATTTATCATCGTTATGGAACTGTTTTATCATGAAAAAAAAAAAATCCAAGATTCACTTTTCACAAATGTACTCAAAAACAACTCCTCTCTTACTTTTGCCTGATTATGAATATTATATATAGAACTCTTAGATAGCTTAGAAAGTTGCAAAGAAAAAAATAAAAGACACTTGTAATTCTGCTGTAGAGAGGTAAACCTTTTAGACATTGGTAAATTTCTTGCTATTCCTTTTCTGTGCATATATGTATATAGACTTCTGACACATAATATAATTTTATTTACATACTTCCATAGTGAATTTTCACTTATCATAAGAATCTCCCTGTGTCACTAAAAATTCATTCTAAACAATTAAATTTCAGTAATATGCACATAATTTTTTTTTTTTTGTACTGGGGATTGAACCCGTGGGTATTTTATCACTGAGCCTCATCCCCAGTCCTTTTTGTTATCTTATTTTGAGACAAGGTCTTGCTCAGTTTCTTCCACCTTGTGATCCTCTTGCTGTAGCCTCCTGGGTCGCCACACATGCACACAGCACAATTTAAATCATCATTTCCTCACTGAAAGATATTAGGATATTTACAAGCAAAGAATTCTATATGATAAATATATTTTAAAGTGAATTTTAAGCATAATTTCTTCACAATTCTTTACCTGATTATTACAATTACCAATAATAAGTGCATCAGCCAGAGACAACTGTCCCACAATCATGCCCTGCTCCAGCAATGGGGCTCCCGTTTCAGCAAGGCGATTAGATGTGATAACAATGGTATTATCGTCATTTAACACCATTACAGGATCCGCCTAAAGAAAAAGCAAGAAGCTGATGGTGAGAAAAAGATCACTATAATAATTTATTTCTTCTTCTTGACATATATCCACAATAAAAAAACATATACCATACGGCCATTTGCTTATCCATAATTAGTAGTCTTTCTTTCCAAACACTGACCTCAATGAAAGCTGCCACTTCTTGAAGCACCAAGTTCCATTCCACTTGATCTTCAGTATTAAACCTGTGAGTATAATCCTCAATTTCATCTGACAATTCCTGATTTTAAAATACCACAAAGAAAAGAGGTTACTAAAAACACACATAAAAATACATAGCTATATTGTAACATTCTTGACAGAACATGATATAGTTCTCATAGAGGATATACACAGTTCCAATTATAATTGAAAACAACAAAAATTGCATGGTTTTTGCTTCAAAACATCAAAATGATACACACAAATAAGATCTTTATAGAGCTACAATGCCTACTTAGCACTACATCAACAAAAAATTTATTAATAGAAAAGTCTAAAGGGAAAAATTAATGAATTTTAATGTTAAATAATTTCCAATAACAAATTAGAATTAATTAATTAATTAATTTGAAAAATACAGGGCTGGGATTGTGGCTCAACAGTGGAGCACTTGCCTAGCACATGCAAGGCACTGGGTTTGATCCTCAGCACCACATAAAAATAAATAAAATAAAGGTATTGTGTCTAAACACACACACACACATATAAAAAACATATAAAAATACATAGCTATATTATAACATATATACACACACACACACACACACATTTTAGTAGGTCATGCTTGAAAAACAACTATTAATATGCTGATGAAACCACTGGTAGTAAAGCAAGCTGAGTTTGGTATGCAAACTGTGAGTACTAAGTGCATCCTATATATATATATATATATATATATATATATGTATGTGTATATGTGTGTGTGTTTTAAAATGCTTCCTGATATTATTTGGTTTTATATCATACTGTATTTTGGAAGGAGTAGTATTAGTAACTGGAGGTAGAGGAAGAATGAGGAGGATTATACAGAGCTATTTCTGGTGGCTTTGTGAAAACTAGTAGGTCATACTTGAAAACCAAATATTAATATGCTGTTGAAACCACTGGTAGTAGAGCAAGCTGAGTTTGGTATGCAATAACTGTGGACTATGCAATAACTAAGTGGACCCTCAAGACAGTTAGCTTTTAAGCACCTGAGTGAATGAAGGACAGAGTGATACAGATAAACTAAAAAATTCATTCACAATACTGCTATAAAACTTTATAAATTTTTTTCAACCTAACCTTTCAATCATTTTCTCCTAAATAAAATATTTCAACTTTGTTTACATTTCTCAACAATCCACTGATGGGCTGTAAAAGTGTAAAACATACTGAAGGGACAAAAGAAAATAAGATAATTATCTAAGAGCAGTGTAAAGATGTTTAAAATAAGAAGAGAGGTGGGAAACTTTTATCATTACTTTTGTCAGAGGGTACTGTATTTTGAATGTTGTCACTAGATATATCAAAATTAGCTTAGGGGTGGGAGTAGCTCTGTAGTACAGCACATGTTTATCATACATTTAGCCCTGGGTAAGATCTCCAGTACCATACATATGCACAAATTAGGTTAGCCTACGATATTGAGATTGAACCGGGGACCTCATGCAAGCGAGGCAAGTACTCCAGCACTGAACTATACCCTCGGAACTTTTTATTTTTTATTTTCAGACAGGGTGTCACTAAATTGCTGAGGTAGGCCTTGAACTTGTGATCTTTGTGCCCCAACCTCCCAAGAGCTAGATTACAGGCATGCACCAGTACACCCAGTGTAAAATCCACTTTTAATAAAACTATTTGTATACAAATAGAGATTAGGATTTTTCTTATTTTAAAGGATGTTACCTTTACCAGATCCTTCACAACATCCATTTTGTTGAGAAGAAGACAAACTACTATGAATCTTGCATAGTATCGCAGTTTCTTGACTACTAACTCGGGTCTATGGCAGATAAATAGAAAAAAAAAGCTCATTAAATGAAAACAGAATACATGATTTTTAAAATTTTTAAACTTTCTAATGATTTTAAAAAACTGTCATTTTTTTGGACAGTTACAAATATTGCCACATAGAACAACATGGCCTTTCAAACACAGTTCTTCATGATTCATTAAGTCATCATTCATGTATTTATGCATTCAACAAATATCTATTGAGAACGTAGGTGATTAAGGCACTCTGCAGAATGCTAAAAATACCATGATTAAAATACAGAGAGAGGAACAAAGCCCCTCCTTTACAGACCTTAGAGACAGAAAAGTACTTAAAATACAGAGGAGTCAGACACTTAAGGCACAGAAGAGTAAACAGGATGGCAAGAGGAACAGACTACTACTAGAGCCCACAGTACTGGGTCTTGGGTGAGAAAAGGATTCCTGGGGAAAGCAGTAAATGTTTAGGACTATAAAGAAGAGCAGAAGACTACAGGCAGGAAAAATATGAGATTATAGTAGTCCAGGAAGAACATTCTTGGTCCCATTTTTATGACATCAATCAACCAGCTTCTCATACTTACTGTTTATATGACAGGCCTTTTCCCACACTTCTACTTTCCATTATCTGTGACTTTTAATTTAAGTGAATTTTTTTTATGAGTAGTATATAGTGAGGTTCTTTTCTATCCACTTTGGACAATCTCTGCCTTGTACCTGATGTACCCAAACCATTTACATTTAATGTTGTCAGTGTTTTAGCTGGGTTTGTCAACTACCTTGCACATTACTTTCCCCATTTGCCCTCTCTGTTTTAGAGTTCCTCTTGTTCCTTTTAATTAATAAAGCATTTATAGTATTCCATTTTATATCCTCTATTGACTTCTTATTTATACCTCTTCTTTGTTATTGTACCTTCAGTGGTTGCTAGGAGTAGCAATATGCACTAACTTACCAATATTGTACCTGTTCACACCCGACACTTCACACTTACCTCTTATCAACTCAAATGTGACATTTCCAACTTCTACCTCCTGCTTTCTATATCCCACACCAAAACTACAATAACCTTACAAGTGTACAATTTCATATATTTTTGACATTTTCCATAGTAAAAAAAAATCTTTCATTCAGGAGTATTTAGAAATGTGAATACTAACTGACAAATGCATTGATTTTTTTTTTTTTTAAATATGTAAAAGAATTTTATTATTGTGTGTAAATTCAATACCTTTAATAACAATGCAATGAGAGTTTATGATATATGTAGAAATGAAAATCATAAGAGCACAAGGGGAAATAGCAAAAATGAAATATACTTTGGTAAGCCATCTGAATTTCTTTTTTTTTTTTTTTTTTTTTTAATTTTTTATTGTGGGTTGTTCAAAACATTACAAATTTCTTGACATATCATATTCCACACTTTGATTCTAGTGGGTTATGAACTCCCACCTTCACCCCATACACAGATTGCAGATTCACATCAGTTACACATCCATTGATTTACAAATTGCCATACTAGTGTCTGTTGTGCTCATTGATTTTTTTTTAAAGCTTTGTTTTTTTTTTTCTTATAATGGACTCACACCATCATTAGAAGATGTTTCCTAGAAAATGTATTGAATTTTTTTGTAGCAGATTGATTTTTCAATTTCACACAGTTTTCATATAGCTTGGAATAATTTATTTTCTTATTGTTGTGTATAGTTTTATGCACACAGAATAAGTTCTCAAATTTCACTCAAACCTTCTTATAACTTTTCGTTTTAATATATAAATTATTAAATATGATATATCAAACTTTTCATGTACATTAGACCATTTATCAATTTCCCAATTTTTGGTTTATTATACTGTTTTAGTATTGGGCATATGCAAGTTAAGAATTTTTATATTATCTTGGGTTGTTGCTTTTATTTTTATACAATAAACTTCTACCCTTAATAATATTATATATTTATGTTAAATAAATATATAATTCACTAAAATTTCTTTTTCTTAGGAAATTTTTCATTTTCTCTTTTCTTTGCACTTAATGTTTCTAGAGAGTCTATAATTAACAGTATAATACTGTGTTTTTCTAAAAAATATACACTGAATATACACTGGTAATCTGTCATTAACTAGAAAGTTCTGATCACTTTCACTTACCATGATTACCACTGTATTTGAATTTGTGTTTATTATTTTGTGCTATACATTTTGGGAATTTTCTCCTTTCCTGCATGCTATTATACAATATATAAGTCCCTTTCTCCCTTCTATTTTTCCCAAATTCTCCTTATATTTTTAAAAATTCTTTTCTTAAAATTTTTATTAGTAAACTTTTCTTGACTCCATGCTTCTTCTAAACTATAAAAAGGATTTTATAAGAATGATTTAGTTCTTTATCCTTTTTCAGAATAAATCACGTTACATAGGATTTTATTCCCATTTTAACAACCCCAATCAGCCATTATCACAATGATCACTGTTTTACAAAGTCTTGTTTTAGTAAGTAAGGGGGTACTGTTTTTCTCATGGATCCGTACTGCACACCATCCCTTTCTTCTAGCTCTAACTTTCCTCTTCCTTGCTCTTTTGCCACCACACCCCACCATCTCTTACAAAGTTGTCACAACACTAGTCACAATAAAGAGTGGACAACCCTCTTTCCTGAAACTGAGCTGTCCATTTGAAGGTATGACTAGTCTATGTTAGTCAGCATGTCTATGTGTTTTCAGACAGAAAGTATTTTAGGTTATCTAGCCTACCACCCTGTCAGAAATGGAATTCAAAACAAAAAGAAAATCAGGAGAAGGATGACATCAATTCCTACTTGAACTATTAATGACTAGCCCTTTAATTTTTGATAAAAATATAGGTTCTATGAATCTATATCACAGGTAATACAACCAGCAAATTTTCTATAAAGGGCCAAAAAATAACTATTTATCTATTTGTTATTTTTATCTGTTCTAATTAGTTGTACATGAAAGTAGAATGCATTTTGACACATCATACATAAATGGAGTATAACTTCTCATTCTTCTGGTTGTACATGAGTTATACCAGGTCATGTAATCATACAAAGATTCATTCTACTATCCTCCCTACTCCCATACCCCCTCCCCTCCTTTCACTCCCCTCTGTCTAATCCAAAGTATGTCTATTCTTTCTTAGCTGCCCCCATTTATTGTGAATTAGCATCCGCATATCAGAGAAAACATTTGGGCTTTGGTTCTTTGGAACTGGCTTATTTCACTTAGCATAATATTCTCCAGCTCCATCCATTTACCAGCAAATACCATAATTTCATTCTTCTTTAAGGCTAAGTAATATTCCATTGTGTATAAATACCACATTTTCTTTATCTATTATCTGTAGAAGAGCACCTAGGTTGGTTCCATAGTTTAGCTATTGTGAATGGAGCTGCTGTAAACATTGATGTGGCTGCATCACTGCAGTAGGCTGATTTTAAGTCCTTCAGGTTTAAATCTAGGAGAGGGATAGCTGGGTCAAATGGTGGTTCCACTCTGAATTTTTCTGAGGAATCTCCAAACTGCATTCCATAGTGGTTGCACCAATCTGCAGTCCCACCAGCAACGTATGAGTGTACCTTTTTCCCCACATCCTTGCCAACGTATATTGTTGCTTTTACTCTTTATAATAACCATTCTGACTGAAGTGAAATGAAATCTCAGTGTAGTTTTGATTTGCATTTCTCTAATTGCTAGAGATGTTGAACATTTTCCATATATTTGTTGATCCATTCTATTTCTTCTTTTGTGAAGTATCTGTTCAGTTCCTTAGCCCATTTATAGATTGGTTTTTTGTTTTTTTGTTTTTTTTGGTGTTAAGTTTTTTGACTTCTTCATATATCCTGGAGATTAATGCTCCATCTGAGGTACATGCAGTAAAGATTTTCTCCCATTCAGTAGGCTCTCTCTTCACATTATTGATTGTTTCCTTTGCCATGAAGAAGGATTTTAGTTTGATTGCATTCCATTTATTGATTCTTGATTTTACTTCTTGCACTTTGGGGGTCTTGTGAAGGAAGTCAGTTCATGAGCTGACATGGTGAAGATTTGGGCCTACTTTTTCTCCTGTTAGGAACAGGGTCTCTGTTCTAGTGTCTAAGCCCTTGATCCACTTTGAGTTGAGTTTTGTGTAGGGTGAAAGACAGGGGTTTAATTTTATTTGGCTACATATGGATTTCCAGTTTTCCTAGCACCATTTGTTGAAGAGGCCATCTTTTCTCCAATGTATGTTTTTGGTGCCTTTGTCTAGTATGAAATAACTGTATTTATGTGGGTTTGTCTCTGTATTTTCTATTCTGTAGCATTGGTCTATGTGTCTGTTTTGGTAGCAATACCATGCCATTTGTTACTACGGCTCAGCAGTATAATTTATGGTCTAGTGTTGTTAAGCCTCCTTAACAAAGCAATAGATTGCTTTGGCTATTCTGCGTCTCTTATTTTTCCAAATGAATTTCATGATTGTTTTTTCTATTTCTATGAAGAATGTTATGGGGAATTTAATAGGGATTGCATTAAATCTGCATAACGCTTTTGGTAGTATGGCCATTTTGACGTTAATTTTCCTATCCAAGAGCTTGGGAGATTTTTCTTTCTTCTAAGGTTTTCTTCTATTTTTTTCTTTAGTGTTCTGTAGTTTTCATTATAGAGATATTTCACCTTTTATTAGATTTCCAAATATTTTATGGTTTTTGAGGGTACTGTGAATGGGGTAGTTTTCCTAATTTTTCTTTCAGTGGATTTTCTTTCACTGATATATAGGAACACATTTGATTTATGGGTATTGATTTTTATATCCTGCTACTTTGCTGAATTCATTTACTAGTTCTATTAAGTTTTCTGGTGGAACTTTTTCAGTCTTATAAATATAGAATCATGTTGTCAGCCAATAGTGATACTTCGAGTTTTTCTTTTCCTATTTGTATCCATTTAATTTCTTTCTTCTAATTGCTCTGGCTAGAGTTTCAAGATGTTGAATAAGAGTGGTGAAAGAGGGCATCTTTTTGTCTTTTTCTAGTTCTTTAGAGGGAATGCTTTCAATTTTTCTCCATTTAGAAATGATGTTGGCCTTAGGTTTAGCATATATAGCTTTTATAATGTTGAAGTATGTTCCTATTATCCTTTAGTTTTTCTAGGGTTTTGAGAATAAAAGGGTGCTGTATTTTGTCAAATGTTTTTCCTCATCTATTGAAATGATCATATGATTCTTGTCTTTAAATCTATTGATGAGATGAATTATGTTTATTGATTTCCAAATGGACCTTGCATCCCTGGGATGAGCCCTACTTGATCATGATGCACTCCAGATAGTGACTATTTAAAGCTTTGCAGGCCATATATGGCATTTCTTGTACATTTATATTTTTATTTTTTTCAATTTTGTAAAGTGTGATAGTATTTCTAAGTTGTCAGGAGGTAGAAAAATCAGGCAAGCAGACCTAGTTTGCTGACCCCTACATTAAATGATCATATAGAAGCGAGTGGGTGACTCCATTCTCAAAAACACTGTGTAGAACTGCAGCAAAGCACAGATTAGTTTCATCAATGCTATGCACTCATTTGTGTGAGAGGCCACCCCCACTGCATCTGAAAACCAGAATCACATCCCACAGCCCTACTGGTGACTGCAGATGAAACCTTCACTGGAAAGGGCCACATCAAGTCCTCTTCATCATGGGTCCCACCCTATGAAGTGCCAAAGCCTTTTACTTTAGATTCATGTTTCTTATTTAAAAAAAAAGAAAAGAAACTTCAATACTGTCACCCCTAATGTTAAAATCATGTTGTTCTTAACTAACTATGGATTCCAGAGTTCCAGTTTTGTCCAGCCTGCCAGGCCTACTACTTGTAAGATGTGGACTCTTTAACTTCACATTTATCTGGAGTGTCTGTTCCTCCAGGTGGCTCCTTGCAACATTTCTCCACATCTCCTGTGGGCTCAGATACACCACCACCTCCACATCTAACTCTGCCCAGGTGCAGATTTGGCCATTTACAAAAGTCAGGGCTTGCGGCTCCCAGAATGAGTGACTATGTGATAATATCTCCTCTCCTAAGCAGGATGGCAACAGAGTGGGATGTTCTGAGAGCTGCCTAAGCTTAGTGACAGACCCTCACCTCGGTGAGTGCTGGAACATTGGCCTCCATATAATCCTTAGGTGCTGAAGCAGTGCAGGAAAAACTTATTTCTTTTGCAGGGGGAAGATTTTTGCCTTTTAAAAGAATTGTAAAATTCTGGAAAGCCTTTTTTTTTAAAAAAAAAACACCTTTATTTTACTTATTATTTTTTTAATGTGGTGCCAGGGCTCGAACCCAGTGCCTCACACATATTAGGCAAGCCCTCTACCACTGAGCCACAACACCAGCACTCATGGAAAGCCTTTTTATTTGGTTTAATCTAGTGGCTGCTGATCTCACTTTTAGTTAGCAGCTGTTGCTGATCGCTACCTTAACTGGTACCCTTGCCCCTGTAAACTAAGAAACAACCTTGCAAATGAACAAAGCCCTTCCTAAGCACACAGAACAAGGTCAAGGTTTTACATGCAAGATTGTCCTTTGATTCTAATTTGTTGGTCTAAAGCAAGAAATGTGGTCATTCTGGTTCCAAATACTCCTAGCTCTGCTAGATAATGTATTGCTCTAGAGGCAGCAAAAGAAAATAATTCAGATGTGATATTTGCTATTAAGTAGAAAATGACTGCAATAAATCAACCTGTTGGGTGTTAAGCCACAGGGCTCAAGGACAATTTCCATTTTGGCACATAAGAAAATTCAGAAAAGTAAATTACACAAGGTCTATTGCTATTGCTTAAAATAACTCTCTGCTTATATGTATTTTTTTAAATACTTATTTTTTAGTTGTAACTGGACATTATTATTTATTTATTTATTTATTTATTTATTTTGAGAGAGAGAGAGAGAGAATTTTTTAAATATTTTATTTTTTTAGTTTTCGGTGGACCCAACATCTTTATTTGTATGTGGTGCTGAGGATCGAACCCAGCGCTGCGCGCATGCCAGGCAAGCGCACTACCGCTTGAGCCGTATCCCCAGCCCCTTATTTATTTATTTTATGTGGTGCCGAGGATCAAACCCAGGACCTCACATGAGGTAGGCGAGTGCTCTACCGCTGAGCCACAATCCCAGCCCCTGTATTTTTAATTCTAATAAAATGTTACACAGCCCTTTTGCATATTTTAGAGGTACAATTTAAATTAAGAATTTAATTTAAGACAAGAATTAAGACAAATGGGACTGGGGATGTAGTTCAGTGGTACAGCACTTGCCTCACCTGCATGAGGTCTAAAGTACAATAGAAATAAAGACAATAGATCATGAATACAAAAAAAAAATACAAAAACAAAAATATTGGAAAAAATATACCTGTAGAACTGTAGTATGTAAATATGTAAAAAATATTTATAAAAAATATGTAAATCACAGCATAAGAAAACCTGAAAGAAACGTAACTGATGGAACTTCAATACGGGATGAAATAAAGGGATGGCAAAAAGACACCAAGAGGCAAACTGAAGTACTTATTTGAAACATCTAGTCTTTCTAGTGTTTAGAAGTGCACAAGGTATGTTAAAAGTAGGGGTGGTAAATAAAGGATTTTGTAGATATCTTGCTAAAATTCATAATGAAATACTGTCTTTTGGAGATGAAATGATCAAAACACTTCTCCAAGTAGTACATATTATATTTGTGCTGGTTTAGGGAGGAAGAAGGAAAAGAAAATGCAAAGGGCTTCATAACAATGTATTTTCTGTGCAGCAAGGTTGGCCATTGTCCCTTAAAAAAAAAAAAGAAAAAGAAAAGAAAGAAGAAAAGACATCAGGAGAAAATATAGAATTCAGCATCTACAAATCATACTGTATCCACCAAACTCCCCTAGACCAGTCACAACAAGATATGCAAGGAAATAGAGGGGATTTATCAGACTGGGCTTTCCAAAAAACACTGCTGTTCAGCAGTGTTTAAGTTTAAACAATAGTCAACCACAAAAGTTTAACAACAGTCAAACACAAAGCAGTTTAACAATAGTCAAACCACAAAGTTTGTTTAACAATAGTCAACCACAAAGCTGCTCTAGAAAAATATATCAAAACTGTGTTTCCTTCTATTGCTAAGAAGATATAATCTTTTCACTACATAACCACCATGAGTCCTTTTGCTGGAAGTAGAGAGAACACACAGACATTCTGAACCTGAACTTTCTCCTCCAACAACTCTTGGAATATTAGCAACAAAGACCTTCCAGATCCTTGATTTCATCCACAATTCCATTCTTGCCTAAACACTGTGATCCACCTATGTCCCAAATATGGCTACAACCCCAATAGAAGATAAAACTTTTGAAAGGGAACTAGCACACCTTCTTTTTTCTCTTTCACCCAAGTACTTGCCACAGTGCCAGATACAAAATTCTGCTCAATAGATTTCTACAAAACGGTGAATTCCATATGATTTTCTTTTTTAAATAGTGAAGCTATACAACTGTAAAAACAGTATTGGGTTTACAAAAGAAAATTCAAATGGCATCAGAACTCTTTTCTCTGGTCTTAGAATTAAGACTACACAGGCTAAAAAGAACAAAGACTATTAGCTAAGGCTTACTTTGGAGTCAACTCTTTTCTAAGAAATCACTGTGACTTTTATCTCCTATAAAGGAATAACCCCAACCCTCCTTTGTGCTATGACCCGGCTCTGGAATTGTGACATACATTATAATATCTATATTATTGCTTTTAGGTGATATATACCCCTGCATGCTTTAGAAGGCCTGCTCCATAGCAGACAGTCAATAAAGCCTACTAAATGAATAAAAGTTATAAACAAATGTGTGCTTTTCTGTACAATTTCTACACAGACTATAGACTTTGATTGTCTTATCCTCATCTTTCTGAAAGCAGAGTAGATACATACCTGTCCTCTTTATTGACTTGAGAATAATAAGATCTTTGTCTAATAGCAGAATAGAAGGAGAAAGCCTCATTCAGATAGCTGGTCTCAGATGTGCGTAAGCTGTGAGAAAAAGAATATTATACATGACTGAAACTGAAGCTCCACACTATGATAAAGACTTATTCCATATTACTTATTTATCTACAGGGGATGGGAATGATGGTCCAAAATTTGAATCAGCAAGGCATAATCACACCATCCTTAAAATGTATAATAATAATAATAATAATACTCCCCAACCCACTCCCAAGATTTTTGGATGCCAATCAAAGTACACTTCTTTCTCACTCTGTGAAAAGACCCTCCAAACAACATTCTATCTGGTTATATCTGCTCCTAGAACCAGATCTTCCATGACGTTCCCCAAATTCATAGTTGCTTGAACACTGACCCACTTTAATTTTCTTCCTCACAAACTTCATTAAAGGAAAACTCACATTAATCTTCACTGGATGTTACTGAGTTATGTTCTGAGCTTTAGTATTTCTAGTTTTACAAGGCACTTTTAAGAGCATATTCTATCCAAGAGAGTGATTTTGAGGGCAGGCATTTTGGGTGACACACCAAAATGTAGGAAAATGGACTTTGCTATCTTTTCACTTATAAATGGTCAAAGTCATTTTTATTGTAAAATGATATCACTTCATGATAATGAGATTTAGATTCCTAAAAGGAATCTTCTTTCTTTGGCTCAAGGGTGAAACTGCAGAGATATTATTCCTCTGTGAATATAATCCAAAGTATTTTCATTTACCTCACGTAACCTTTCAAATATATCCTATAAGTATGCATTTTTAAAAGCATCCTTCAAAAAAATAATCACTCATTCATCATATATATGTTATGCTTCTTCACAGTATCACGACTTAGAAGAAGCCATAAGAACAATAAATTCATTCAGTACTAATCAAAAGTTCTTCCAAAACCTTGAGAACAAAACAGAACTTAAAAAAAAAAAAAAAAAGTCAAGGTCACACTCCTTAAAGTCTGACCAAATGAAATGTTACAACAGGAGCCCTTGAAGCAAGTACTACAATTTGTATTACGGAAGGCCATTTCATGATACTGTGTTGACTGATCTGTTCTGAACCAGATTCCATTCATAACTCAGTGTCTAGCAAGTGAGTAACTATGCAGACTCCTGCATGCTGTCTCCTCAGCAGGGCAACACTTGATTCTCACCGTTAGCAAGTCACTTACTAATAATGGTAGTATAGCTGCCCGATCTTGGAAGCGATTTCCCCTATTTGCCACCGCTTCAAGCCATACCGATTATCCAACACTTGTCTGTTTTATATGAGATAAGAAATAGAAATAACAGATTATAAATTTTAAATAACCAATTCAGTAAATTCAATGGGATAAAATACCAATCAGCAAAGCTCATGAATTTCTCATGAGATTTCAACATAATCATTCAACTAAAAAAAGAATTTGTTAAATATCTATTTCAAGTAAATTGAGATACAAAAAGAAACTGCTCTGAGCTATGCCCATGAAAACTGGAAGCAACATCCCCTCCCCACATAGCTCTGGCCATTAGACTTTAGGATGAAACCATGGACCATCCCACACCAGTTAGAGTTAATCTAACATTCCAGATACAACATTGTGGTTAACAATCAGATAAGAACACCGAATTTTAGCTTGGGATGGTGGCACTTGCCTATAATCTTAGGAAGTGGGGAAGCTGAGGCAGGAGGATCACAAGATTTAGACTAGACTTGGCAATTTAGCAAGACCTTCAGGAACTTAGTGAGACCCTGTCTCCAAATTTAAAAGAATAATATGAATAAAGCTGGGGACATAGCTCAGTGGTAAAGTATCCCTGGGTTAGATTCCCAGTACAAAAACAACAACAACAAAACCCAAATCACTACATTTTAAAATCTTAAATAAACAGGGAAAAACTCCCTTTGCTTTGAATCATGAAAGTGAAATAAACTGTTTTAAAAATACCAAGATAAAAAACACTAGTTAGATAGTTAAAGGTCAAAACTGCAACAACGATAAAACAGGCCTACCCTCTCCCTTAACTATATAATTCCTTTACCGATGCTGCTGCTGGAACTTCCAGAGTTTGGTGTAAACATCAAAAGTTCTTCCAAAATAGGACTGCCACTGCTTCTGACCATATTGTGGCAAATCTCTGTAATAACAAAAAAGCATATATTAACTTTAAGTCTCTTCAGCTTTTTGGAAATTCTCTCCTGTGATGGTACAAACTGGATAGATTTAAAGTACGTGCATTTAGTTTTTTTTTTTTTTTAAATTATAATTTTTGGAGCAAAAACTAGTTCTATGACAAAAGTCCAGGTCACTTTCTTTTCTAGTCACCCCATTACCTCTCACAGCTCATGCCCAGTGTCCTTCGCAGGTACCTCTCCCAGGAGGATCCAGCACTCTTCTCCTTCCCTCTCCCTTGGTGATCTTATTTATGCTCACATACACACTGATAACTCCCAAATGCTCATCTTCAGCTAAGACTTCAGCAGTTTGAAAATGCAGCCTTAGAAGTGTTTTAGAAGTGAGTGTGTAGATAAATGGTTACAGTTCTCAACTCCACCATCCTCTTCTCATAAGAGAAATAGAATTCCTGTCCTTGGGGCTGGGGTTGTAGCTCAGAGGCAGAGCACTTGCCTAGAATGTCTGAGGCCCTGGGTTCGATCCTCAGCACCACATAAAACTAAATAAGCAAAATAAAGGTATTGTGTCCATTTACAACTAAAAATATTAAAAAAAAAAAAAATCCCTGTCCTTGGGCTTGGTGACTTACAGTACATGCCCTTGAGAGACAAACATTTGCTAAACATGAACTGAGCTTGGCCATATTAACCTGCTTTGGTCAGTGAAATACAATTGCAAGTTATCTACTTCACATCTGAGGAAAAGATGAAGAGGAGTTTAAGATTCAACATTTTCACTCTACCCTTAACCTAAGATCGATTGCTCTTCAGTTTGAAACACAGAATGACACTTAATGGAGCCTCAGAACCACTGGCATCGTGTAGCTAACATGGGAGCTAGAAATAAATCTCTATTGAAATAAAGCATAAAATTTGGAGGTTGTTATAGCAACCTCAGTTAGGGAAAGCTACTACAGAAACTGGTAGCAGGATTAGGTTACTGCCATAACTCCTAACACAGACACTGGCATTGGACTGAAGAAACTGCTACCAAAGACTGAAAAACAAGAACATATATAACACAGTGGTAAAATTACATTTGCCTGCAGTTACCTCAAAGGCAGGTAATGAGACTGAGGAACTGTGGATTTATACAAAGAAGTCAGGAAAATGTATGCAACTAGCCCCGGGTGCTATTAGTTGCACTTAACAAAATATAAGGAAAACAAATTCAACAAAGAACTGGCCGTGAGAAGTTGAAAAGGAAAAGGAAATCCACACACTCAAGAATTTTCAGGACTGAAACATACAATCACTAATGTTCAACTATAAGACACAATTGAGATGCCAGGTATAAATGCCCCTTAAGACTCAGCCTCATCCTCAGGGCAAAAGCCCTTCAGTTAAAGACTCTAACTGCAGGTGGCCCCCCACATTCACATATTGGGACAGGACAGATCAGGGAAAACACTCCAAGGATTTGGCAGACTTGTAGAAGCCTGATAAGCTCAAGTACCTGTGATAAGGTCTAGAAGACAGAAAGAGATGTCTCAGAAACCATGGGCATAGCTATTGGTACATGGAACTAACTTGAATGAACCAGTCAACTACATTTCATGAGAGTTGTGCAGCTGAAAGTCACCTGCTCTATAAAGGGGCCATACCTATTCCCATCCTACTCTGAGTTGTCATCTCATTTTTATTGAAAAATGTTAATGAGTACTTAACAAACATATCCATCTTTATTTTAGTGGTTAATTCTTTTTCTTTTCTCTCCCTCCTCCCAGTACTAGAGATTGAACCCAGTCCTCATGCGTGCTAAGCCAATCATCTTCCACTGAGCCAATTTCTCAGACCTTTTAAATTTTTTTTTAAAATTTTGATACAGGTTCTCTTAAATTTGCCAAGGCTGGCCTCAAACTTGCAATCATCCTGCCTCAGCCTCCCAAGTAGTTGGGAATATAGCCCTTTTCTGTCTTTTTAAATAAATCCATCCACACAATAGCATTGTCTTCTAAAAGACTTAAAGGTTTGATTTTCAAATTTAACACTCATAAAGACCAAACTGGGTTTCAGGCATGTTTAATGAATTATGTTTAAATGATTTTTCAAAATATGTCCTTTTTGACCGACATGGTAGAACTGCAAGTGATGCCATAATTTTCCCTATGCTTATATATCAGATCTTTGTTTTATTCCACTAGTCTTTCTATTTTTTCCTCATCATTTTGTTAGTTAGCTTTATAATAAGTTAGCTTTATAATAAGTGTAGCATGTTTCTCTCTTTTTTTAGGAGTACTTTGGCTATTCTTGGTTCCTTATATTTCCATATGAACGCAAATTTTAATATCAGCTTATCAAATTCTACAAAAAACCTTAATGAGTTCTAATGGGAACTGCACAGATCTAGAGGTCAATTTAAAGAACTGACATTTTTCATAATTTTGAGTATCAACAGTAATTCATTCCATTTATGTTGAAAATATTGTTATTTTTCAAATTTGAAATTTTTTTCCATAAAGGTGTTATATTTCTTGGTTCACATTATTGAAAGGTATTATATTTTTGTGAAACATACCACTGAATTGTATACACAGAACTATATGGTATTTGAATAATACCTCAGCAAAACTGTCCTTTAAAAAAAGAAATTAAAAAAAAGCAAAGCATGATCTCTGTTTTCTCTCCAGAATCTATATATAAAAAAATAAAAAGAGGTAGGCAATCAACAGATGAGAGATTTCAACAAATTTTTGGAAAAACAACATGTGATGAAGAAATACCATTGTTATATCAAGAAATGTCAATATTATTACTTCCTGTCACTCAAAATCCTGGCAGGAAATAGAGAGCACCCAAATGAGTCACTGAGAAGAGTTTAACAGAGGGAGAAGGGAAACCACCAGAATGCTGATGTGCCCTCAGGCCACTTTGCCACACCCGGTGCCAGCTGCAGCTAGGCAGCATTTAAGCAGTGAGCACAGAAAGCATCCATGCTGGCTCCCCTGGCCCTCCATGTCCTGCAGGTGCACAGCAGCCTGTTGATTCAGCCATGAAGGTCAATCTCTCAAGTTAATCAATGAGGCAAAAGGATAAAAGGTAGGTCTGGAGGGACAACCTCAAAACGTCTAGCCCTGTGATTCACAGAAGAGAGCAGAAAAGCTGGCACCTTAGAAAAACCGAAGAGGGAAGAGGAGCTAAAAAGAAGTTACAAAACATCAAAAGGAATTAAAATGTTTCAAACAAGGATCCAACTGAAGGAATACATAAGAACCATTTGCTGCTGGGCCCATATACAGTGTAATCCCTGCAATTTAGAGGGAAGGCAGGAGGATTCAGGGCTGCCTAGGTAATTTAGCAAGACCCTATCTCAAAATAAAAAAAAAAGAAAGGGTGGGGTGTAGCTCAGTGAGAGAACATACCTGGGTTGAATTCCCAATATTACCTGTCGTGTCCTCCCCCCAAATCCCCACCTGAAATGCCAATTACCTCTGCAGTTATCCTCCTAGGCACAGGGAAAGGAACAGAGAGGGGAGGGAGAGGACCAGAGGGCAGGAGGGGAGAGGTTTCTCATTAGAGAAACTGGATAAACTTCTCTTCTGGCATTGACTGATTAGGGTGGGAGTGGGCCCAGAATAAGGTCAGCCGGTTAGCATAAGGCACATCTCTCCATTGAAAACAGGGCCTACATAAACAGTGACCTTGGTCAGACTTTCTATCGTGTCATTCTTCAATAAGAATTGGTTAGATGTTGAAGGAAAGTTTGTAACATGACAAAACATAATTCAGAGAACAGGATAAAAAGCAAAACAATTCAAATTATTATTCTCAGAATTTATACATTCATAAAAATAAGAGAAAAACTCAATGAGTGAAGAACTCAGAAAAAAAGAAGTTGAAAATTTTAAAAATTATTGCTGAAATAATACTTCATTGGAAGACGGAAATCTACTAAAAAGCTAAAGGGAAAACAATGAGATGGAAAAATACAAAAGAGATAATCAATAATAGAGTGCCACCCAAACAAATTATAGAGCAAAAAACTAAAGGAAGAAATATCTACAAATTGAGGACATACCAAGTAGCAAACTAGAGAAATGAAAAATGACCCATCTTCATGACATGCAGAACAGGAAGAACAAACTACAGGACATAAGAATCAGACTAGCACCAGGCTTTTCATCAGAAATGCTGTATTAAAATAATACCCCCCCCTCCAAAAAAAGGGGAAAACTGCTTTCAAAGCTTATTAATCAGGTAGAAGGAATAATAATGAAATTTCCAGGCATGGAAGGACTTAGAAGAGCACCTCCAGACACCCATTCCCGAGAAGTAGCCTGAGCAAGCCGGGCTCAGTGGTGCATAGCTGTAATCACAGCAACTCAGGAGGCTGAGACAGTTGGACCACAAGTTCGAGGCTAGCCTCAGCAATTAGCAAAACCCTATCTCAAAATTAAAAAAAAAAAAAAAAAAAAAAAAAAACATTAAAAAGTACTGGGAATGTAGCACAGTGGTAAAGCGCCCTTGTATTCAACCCCTAGTACCAAAAAATTAAAGAGAGAGAAGTAGCCTGAAGAAATGCTCCACCAAAATAAGAGAACTGGTAAGGTGAGCACAGAATCTAGAAAGAGTAAATCCAACCCACAAGACAGTGTTGACAAAGCTGATCAATCCTAGGACACTGTTCTAGCAATTTGTATGTAGTACATAATTTAATCCAAAAACTATAGAAGAAAGGCAAAAATGACTTTAAAATGGCACAATTTTAAGTAATAAATAGTGTTAAAATGAGTGATTGCATTTAAATTTGAACCTACGAATGAATGGCTTCGAGTTATATGTTGGAGTTACAGAGAAGGAAAAGTAATCATTGTTCAATTCCTCGCCCTGCAATATAAAATATTTAGTGATATGTCAAAATGCTGTTTATTATTCATTTTCAACTATTAGAATCCACATACAGAAAAACACACAAAATATTTAACTCATAAAACTCTAAGTACATGTTCCAGAAAATGTAAAG